CTTCAAGAGCATTCTTACTGACATTACTTGTATTCCAAATCAGTGTTTGCTGTCTTTTCAAGATGTTCAGTTTTCCCTTAAAGGACTCAAGAGGCTTGTTTTTTAATTATGGATGTTTACTTTCCAAATGTCGAATTAATTTAGAAGGTTTCATGCTTTCGGCACTTAGCACTTCACCACCCACAACACAATAAGGTTTATTTTTGATTGCTGTAAAACCATACATTGAATAGCTGGAATTGGATTTTCTGCACTTCATCTTCTTCACTCCTTCATTCTGTGCAGTACTTGGTTGAGCCCTCTTTAAAAATGTATCCATTGTACAAGAAGGCCTCTTTGAAAAGTGTGCATACAGTACTATTTGCTAGCCGTGAAGAACAACAACGTTGTCTGGACAGGAAGCAGCAGTGAGCTCACGTGGTTCTGTGAAGTCACATGCTTGCCTAAAGCAGGACCAGCCTTCAACTCTCTGAAGGCCTCACAGAAGGCACATGTGAAGATCTTTGGAGACGGACCCAACATTGGGCGCCGAGGTGTATTGACCCACAGGCTGGGTGGCATCCTGAGGTGAGTCAGGGTGGAGGTGGTGCTTCCTCCCTAAGCCCCTGCTGCCTGAAGCCAAAGTCCTGCTGCTGGGACTGAAGCCTGAGCCCGACCACCTGGGACTGAAGCCTGAGCCCTACCATGGGGGGTTTGAGCTGTAGCTCAAGCCTCGCCTTGCCTCATGGGGGCTGACAGCCTGAACCCCACTGCAGGGCTGACAGCTCGAGCCTGAGCCCTGCTGACCAGAGCTCACAGCCCAGAGCTCGGCCACTGAGGGGCTCACAGCCAGGCTATCTGGGACTGACAGTCCCAATCCCCACTGAGGGGGGCTCAAACATGTAAATTAGCTTCATAGGGCCCTCTGTGGCATGGGGTCATGCCGGCCATGCACTTGCAAAGCCCTTTTGTGATCCCCCAGGCTGAGAAACACTGGTCTAGTGGTTAGAGCACTCACCTGAAAGGTGGGAGGTTTCTGTTCACATTCCTTCTCTTTATCAGCCAGAGAGGGGACTTAAACTGGGGTCTTCCATGTCAAGATTGAATACCCTAACCATTAGGCTAAAGGTTATAAGGGTGTCATTACCTCTGCTCCTGGCTGGTGTAGGTGGATTTTATAGGGAGACTAGGCACCTAAGTCAGGTTTGTCGATCCCAGTGGTGTTCCAGCAATTTTCTAAGCACTGCAATGCTTAAGTCTCTGTGTGGATCCAGATTGCTCTCCCTTAGTATATCTACACTAGACTTGGAATAAACTTTTGGGGAATTGTCCGCACTAGCCTTTATCAGTGTGTTACCTACTTCTTGTTAACTTGATGAAAAAATGTCCAGTGTAGACAATCCTGTACGCGTAAGGAAGTCTCACTTGGTCTAACATGTTGAGGAGCAATCACAAAAGCAAGAAGATGTAAGTTAAATTAGGGTGGATGTTACTTTAACTTATAATTTTTTTCTTCTGTAAACATGATGGGATAGTTCATCCTTTGTATCCTCTCATGACTAGAGATAGTCCCTCCATGTGAGGACTGAGGGACAGTGATGAGACTGTGTGGAGAGATTTAAATATCTTCTGTCCCTGTTGTCCTTAATTTGTGGATAGATCCAAAGATTTCATGTCTCTAATGGTGTCCATCAACATCTTACATGTACATTAAATTATCAAAAGAACTGTAAAAACAGAGCAAAAAAAGCATATGTTAGAATGCACTAGAAGCCATGTGTAAAATTTGTGGACACTAGCAGTGACTGGGAGAAAAATACTGATATAGTCACAGGAAGAAAACAAACCAAACTCAGTTGTAACAGGAGTCTTTAAATTGGGTGATTTCTTTGTAGTCTGAATTTGGAGGCCTATAGAACAACAAAAATGCTATATATATGAAGACGGGAAGTACAGGGTCAGAAATGGCTCATTGGGATCTTATGGCCAGTTTATCTTCTTACTCTGCATAGATGACTGGTAATGATACATATCTAGGCCTCTGCTACTCTTTAATAGGTATTTTTACCTCTTTGCTGAAAGAATGAGTGCTGATTTGAATGCAGTAGAGACTGGTGATATAGCACGATTATGCTTTTCTTCTAAACCTGTATTTTAGGTGGCAAATACTGCTTGAAATTGACTGATAGGTATTGATTCTCAGCAGTCTGTGGACAAATCTGTGAAGTCAATCAATCTGTTAATGGAATATAGAAATTTATCTTTCCCATTTACCCTATTAAGCAATGCACATGCTTTTATGTCCTGAACCAGTGTCTATTGAAGTCATTGGGAAGACTCCCACTGACTTCAGAGAGCAGTAGATTGGGCCCTTACTGTCCAGTAGATGCAGTATGTTTTCCTCTATCTCTATTGGATTAATTTGGTGGTGAGTGATCTTGTAATTGGAAACAGGAAAGCCAGACCTAGCCCTTAAGTAAGGGGATGCACCTCCCATTGACTTTAGTAGGAGCTGCACCTGCTCACATCAGGGATTAATTTGGTCTAGTATCCGATATCAGTTTCACATTCCAGGAGGTGTGCTCATATTACACTAATGCAAACACTCTACATAGTCTTAATGGGTTTACCAGATGTCCACTATGATATCACTTGTTATTTTCCCCCAAGTGTTAGCAAGCGGAACCTTGATTTTTGGGGGGACGGGGTTTTTTAAAGTCTATATAATATAAATTTTCTTTATTTGCCATTACTGTATTTTTGATACATGAGATAAAATCAAATATAAGGCCTATGGCACTGGTAATAGTACCAAAGTCACCGATGAAATTTTCAACAGAAGAGATGGCACAGTATTTTGTGGGCTGAAAGGAGAGCAGACAATTGCTAAAACATTAAAACAAGCAAGTGTAATCCACACACCTCCTGGGTGTGGTGTTCTGTCCCAGCTAGTGGCACTGAGAGAGAGAACGATTAATGAGTCTGCTCTACAGCCTTAGCTAAGAGCCAAATGGCTTTTAGCTCATGCAGTAGAGGCTCATGCACTGAGGTTCCAGGTTCAATCCCGCCTGCCGACTACCAGGTCTGTTGGTGTTACACAAGCATTCTCCAGTCCAGTTCTTAAATAAGTTAACTTCTAAATGATGTAGACCAGGGATTGGCACAGCCCGTCAGGGAACTCCACTGGCGGGCCGGGACGGTTTGTTTACCTGCAATGTCCGCAGGTTTGGCTGATTGCAGCTCCCACTGGCTGCAGTTCGCTGTTCCAGGCCAATGGGGGCTGCAGGAAGCGGCGCGGGCCAAGAGGTGCGCTGGCCACCATTTCCCGCAGCCCCCATTGGCCTGGATCGGCAAACTGTGGCCAGTGGAAGCTGTGATCAGCCGAACCTGCGGATGCTGCAGGTAAACAAACCATCCCGGCCCGCCAGCGGATTTCCCTTATGGCCGCGTGCCAAAGGTTGCCGATCCCTAATGTAGACCATAGGTGCTGACTCTTATTTTTCCTGATGGGTGCTCTATCTTGGCTCTGCCCCGAGGCCCCGCTCCACTCCACCCCTTCCCGGAGGCTCCGCCCTCTCTCCGCCTCTTCTAGCCCTGCTCTGCCCCCTCCCCTAGACTCCCCCTGCCCGCCCTTCGCTTGCTCTCTCAGCCCCCTGCCACAAGCCCCCCCCCGCCACTGGTTCCTCTCCGCCCTCCCCAAAGTGCCTCCCTCTGGCCACTGAACAGCTGATTGGCGGCCAGCCCCAGGGCCCTGCTGAACACCTGTGGCTGGTGGTTGCTGAGCTTGCCCTATTTTTTTCTGTGGGTGCTTGAGCCCTGGAGCACACACAGAGTCCAGCACCTATGATATAGACTGTGGAACAGGGCTGTGCTTTGATATTTGAGTTCATGTAGAAATATGCCCGTTTCAAATACAAGTCCTCCAAAAAAGTGGAAGATGCCAATTTTTGGGAAGAAGATATTCTAGTGTAAATACTGGAAAGCACATAAAAGGTAATGTTATGTGGTATATCTGAATTTGTGTTTATTTTCCTGTGGGCAATACAAGTACAATAACAAGATGCCCATAATTTTTAAGATTTGATAGTGTTTGAATAGTTGTAGGATCTGTACATTGAATTATTATAGAAAAGTGATGTAAAAAATTTAATGTAGCCTGTCCTGATTGGGATGTATAAATTAGAATACCATAACCAAACATTCAGCATTAATTGCAGTTTTTAAAAGTTACTTGAAGACAGACCAGTTGAAAATGTTGATATACCTGCACTCTTCGAATTTCCTATCACTGCATTTCACTCTTTCGATCAAAACAATTCTCAAGCAATCAGTTAATTAAATTCATTAGTAAAGCTTACCAATTATGGTATAATATTATAGGATGAGTCATTGCTACGGGCTCTGACCCTTAATTCTGGAAACTTATCTCTATTATATGTTATAAAATCTAAGCATTATTACCTATTGTTCCAATGTTAATGGTGTGCCGGGCCTATCAAAAATATAGAAAAAAAAATTCTCTCCCCAAAGAAACTTGAATTTTAAATATACACCTAAGTGAATGGAATTCATATTTAACATGAAATGTCCGCCTTGATAAATCCAAGAGGTGCATTTAGTATCAGTAATTATTTGATGTTTAGTAAATATAATCACAAATGCTTAGTAAGAACATTTTTAATGAAATTCAATAACTCTTTATGTATTTTTATATAGGTTTACACATAAACAAAACAATTGATGTGTAGAATCCATAATAGTTAATAGTTAATGACAGGTAGATCTTTATTAAAACAAGGATATACTTTTTTTCCTACTCTTAGGAATGAATAAAAAGCTATGAATTATAGAAACAATAACACACATCGAGAATAATGCTTTGTATATGGCCAGAATTTTGTCACGTATATACAGCTTAAAGATCCATGAACCTTTAATATATCTTTATAATTTATTTCCTTTATTGCTATTTGAGTTTTTTCCCCTCCCAATAAATAAACTATTAATTGTGTTCTTTCCAGAAATTCATAAAGGCAAGCCTGATAGACAAGAAAAACTTGAAAAAACAGCACCAAAAGGTAATTATTACTATTTATATATGTGTGTGCAATAAATAATATATTTATTCAAATTATATTACACCTCTACCTCAATATAACGCTGTCCTCGGGAGCCAAAAAATCTTACCATGTTATAGGTGAAACCGCGTTATATCGAACTTGCTTTGATCCACCGGAGTGCGTAGCATTCAGGAAGTTTCTAATCAGGAACAGGGCCTTACTGAACTATGTATTGTATGGCCACATATAAAGACATTGTCTTGACCCCAATAGGTCCCAATCTACCTATTCATCTGTCTCTAAATATAATTACATAAAAACCTACATTAAAAGAACATTAGGGTTGCAAAGTCAAGCACTCAAAAGTTTTTAAATTGTCAAAATAAAAATTGCCCAGGCAGCCTTGATTTGATCTTTGTGTATATATGTATATATGTATTAAAATTCAGTTTTTAGTTACATGATCCTATACTATGGTACAGAAAAGACAGTTGTCTTACTCTCAGTGTTCTCTAGCAGCCAGAAAAGTCCTTTTCAGACTCTGTAGCCCCGGGCTGGAGCATGTTCAATGCAAAGAAATCTTTGGAAATTTTGCTGCCAGCCTCTAACAAATCTCTACGGAGCATGTGCAAATGGCAATTTTCATAGGTTTATAACTTGGGCAAATTTCTGTGAGTTTTCCTGGAGAGAGTAAAAAGCACCTTTCTGATGCTAGAGAAATTTCTTTGCCAAATTTCAAGTCTCTCTTCTGAAGCATGTGGAGGCATTACAACTTCTCAATAAAAATGGTTGTAAGAATTGTTTAATATGGGCAAAACAATATATTTTTTCATAATCTCAGTCTTGAAACAACAACCAATTTTTCTGTAATTTTCAAAAACAAATTCAGCCTGAAACAGACACTTGGCATGAAAAATTTCAGCCCAAATATTTAAAATTTGGGAAATCCAAAAGCAACTGAAAACAGGATATTATAATGAAAAGTATTAGGCAACCTTACACTGTGAACTCTGCCAATAATTAAACATTTTATTCAAATCTTTTCTGAAACTACTAATTGCAAAGTAAAATACAGTTACTGTACTTGTTAGAAAAATGTATTTTAAGGAAAGGAAATAATCTGAGAACAGATCTAACAAAGCACTTATTCTGACAATAATGCCGTAAAAACACAGTGATTTAAGAATGATGTCATAGTATTTATTAATTAGCATTAGCTTGTATTGTCCTATGGAATATACCCATGTTTTGGGACAAACTCCCTAGGAATGGTATAACTCAAAATATCAGAGATTGTGGATAGGTCAGAGATAGCCTGTGTAATCAGAAGGATCAGAGCATCCATATAGAGTTTTCCTTTACAAGACCATTCTGACTTTACTAAAATAATTCAATCCAACTCTGATTTGGAGTTGTGATGAAATAATGGGTGTATAAAAACTGAAGATCTTATTATATGACATGGACAGGAAACTCACTAAATTTCAAATTCATCAAACTCAGAAGCCGGGTAAGTGCCCTGGTAACACCTGGCTCATAGCGAGGAATTCTTTTGCAGAACACAGAGTAGTAGTATGCTTTTATAGCAAATGCAGATAAGTCAGATAACATCACAGGCTAAACCTGTCCTTATTTTAGGAAACAAATGTTTTTATGTTCTTATCTGCTTAAATTACAGCAAGGGAGGTTTAGGTTGGACATTAGGAAAAACTTCCTAACTGTCAGGGTGGTTAAGCACTGGAATAAATTGCCTAGGGAGATTGTGGAATCTCCATCATTGGTGATTTTTAAGAGCAGGTTGGACAAACACCTGTCAGGAATGGTCTAGCTAATACTTAGTCCTGCCATGAGTGCAGGGGACTGGACTAGATGATCTCTTGAGGTCCCTTCCAGTCCTATGATTCTATGTTCTTATTTCTCACCCTCCTGTACCTTCTTCCTGGGACTTGATGTCCCATTCCCATCTCCTAAGAACTTTAAGGGACCCAGGGCTTTTCTCTCCCTCATCAGCTTTTTTGAGGAGCCACCAGAATGGGCTGTTGCCATTTCCCTCCCAAAGCAGAGAAGCTGGAGCACAGTGACCACTCCTGCTCTCACTGCCAACAGGCTCTACTTGGGTGGGATTGAAAGAACCTCAATAATCCTTAGCATGGAAGCTCATAGCCACAATATTAGGCATTGGTCATGTTTGCTTGTTACCTAGAAATTATGCTAAGGATATGGGGCTACCTCAAGTAAAGCCAAGTGCGAGAAGGGGGTCTTTCTTTATTCTCACTTCCTATAATGACAGTGGAATTTTTACCCTCCTCATAAGATGATATGTTAGGACTGAGGGGGAGGGGAAGACATCAGCCATAACTTGGCAACCCTCTGAATAATAACATGCTAGGAGTTGGCAACCAGCTCCACTTGAACACCTGTTGGAGGTATCCCAAGGGAAAGGAGCAAGAGGGGTCTCACTTTAATTTAAAAAGGGAGGCGAGATGGAGTTCTGAAGTTGTATGCACAGCTACAATATCCAAAACTTTGTAAATTCATAAACTTTTGTTAATAATATACTGAGGTTCATAAATGAATCTGTCCTCAAGCCCAAATCTCAGTTCAAGTGGATTTCACATTCAATGTGACCTTCACACAAATCTAATTTTAAGCTTCATTGGAGGGCTTGTCAACACGGACACACTCAGGAATGTTAAAATGAATTAACCAAAGGTGTTGAAGTTAAAGCATGTAAATTAAAGCACATTAAACCCTTGTGTGCACCTTCTCATTCAGAAGTATAGTGGCCTTAGTTCACTATATTGTAATCTTCCTTGAAGAAGGAAGCTATAATGAACTAAGGCTGCTTTACTTCTGAATGGGAGTGTCCACACAGACGTTTAATGTGTTTTAATTTCACAGCTTTAGTTAATTCAGCATTTCCTTGATGTCCCTGTGTAGACAAGCCCTTATTCAATTAATTGGAGCAAACATTCTCTTCTTCATCTGTACGACACTCATCACCGTAAGTCTTACTGAGCTGAGAACTATTTTTACTTCGCTAAGGTATGGAATTAATGCCTCCTTAATCTCTTTTTGCCCTTGCTCATTCTGGGCACAGAAATGTTACCCAACACTCTCTCCAACTTTTTAACTGAGCAGACTAAATTTGACTCCCCTGCACTTTTTTTTTCATTTGGTGCAGATTAAATATACTATCAGACGACTAGTGTTTTGGAAAATATCAGAAATGTGCCCCTCACGTCTGTTTTTTATTGTAGGTAAAGTGGGTAGCAACGCCTAGAATAGTATATAGTTAAGGAGTCTTAACACTTTCCATTATAAGCCGCTGTGTTCAATTTCTTATAAGTTTGCCACACTCTGGATGAAATTTTCCATGCTTGCTTTCTGCTCCAGTCTAAATTTTCTTTTAAAGTTTAATCAAAAATGGTTAAGCAATTTCAAAAAATGAGGCTAGTGACAGAGGAAATTTTGTCAGTATTATTTAAAACACATTCCAGCGTTTTTCTCAACAGCTCTAGCATCTTCATGGTTTGGGAGTTGAAATTTGGCAGGAGGAAAATAAAAGAAGTGCTTTTTTCTATTCACATGGAAATCAGCCAGATTTGCCCAAACTATGGGAAATCACAATTTGTGCAAATGCAGCAGAACTAGTTTTGCTTTTGCTTCTTAATTTTCTGAATGTATTGTGCACTGGATGAGTTAGGGATCTTGTCCTCACCTCCTCCCCCCATTCCCTCAAAAGGATGTGATCATATAATTGAAGACCATATCGTAATGCACATGTACAAAGGAGTTGAATTAAGGTTGTACAGTAAGCCTTAATGCTGCCTTTTCTTAACTTTTGAGGGTTTGACTTTGGTACCTTAATGCTAGCGCTGATTGAAAATCTTTTGAAAAACATTTGATGGAAACCAGACAGGCTGGCTGGCCAGACAGCCTGGTTTCCGCGCAGCTCATCCACTTGCTGGAGCCGGCCCTGTCAGGGAGGCAATTCCGCCGCCCCCAGCAAAAAAAAAAAAAAGTCGCGATCGGCGGCGGCAGTTCAGCGGCAGGTCCTTCGCTCCTAGAGGGAGTGAGGGACCTGCCGCCCCCGAATTGCCGCAGGTGCTGCCCCTCTCCCTTGGCCGCCCCAAGCACCTGCTTGTTAAGCTGGTGCCTGGAGCCGGCCCTGCTCCCTGAGCTCTGCAACTTCTCAGCAGCCAGGCTGGCGGGGAGCTTGAGAAACAGGGCTCCCTGGGCTTCCAGGTTCCACAGCTCTGTGGCAGCCCACCTACTTCCCCAGTGAGGCAGCACATTCCTTGGCAGAAGTGTTTAGATTTGGGGGTTCTAATATGAGTTTATTATAGAGATGATCCTGAATGCTGACTTTCATATCTGGATCAGTAATCTTCCCAAAGTTTTGTGGGACCTGCTCAGTGTTTCTGTTTTGGGCCCATATCTAATGTTTATAGGCTATTACATATAGGGTGACCAGATGTCCTGATTTTTATAGGGACAGTCCCGATTTTTGGGTCTTTTTCTTACATAGGCTCCTATTACCCCCCCACCTCTGTCCCGATTTTTCACACTTGCTGTCTGGTCACCCTAATTACATACCAAACACTACATTAAAGGACTGTTAAAATCACAAAGTCAAGAATTCAGTATACAGGACAGATGGTGCTCAGGGAATGAATCAGGGATGTGTAGTGAAGGAGACTGTCTGTAGGACCTCCTTTGTGGCAGAAGCTGGAAGGCGAGAGAGTCAGGAAACAGCAAGAAGAAAAACAATAGTGTTGAATCTCACAGAGCTTAGTAAACTCTCTCTTTCTCAAGCTGAAGTTGATCCAGTCTGGATAAAAACTTAAATAGTCATTGGAGCAGAGGAATTGGACCCTGGCTCTTCTATGTGGGTGCCCAAACCCCCAGGCTACAGAGTCAGTCTCTCTCTTTGGACTGTTTAATTATTTATCAAAAGTGGAACAGATTCAACACGAGAGATTGAGAGACACTTATACAAGATTCAGAGTAGCAGC